AAATTTAAGAGTTATTAAGAGTGTTTGAGCTTGAACCAAACCTTGTTGTCCTTCCAGTGATTGCGTTAGTTTGATTTTTGGTTTTCGAATTTTTATTTGTATTCAGCAATGTGTTTTGGGCTTGATTTTTTGATACGATAGAAGTGATGATGGGAGGAGAACCAGTTTGCTCTGCACTTGGTGATGTTGGAGTACTCTCTTCAGATTTGCTTTCAATATCTGAAAGATCTTCAAGCGTATGCTTTTTACCATCTAATACGAGATGAATTCCCTTAATATAGGAATTTTTATACTTTCCACTTTGTTTTATTTCTACAAGATTTTCTTTCAGTTGTTTATAATGTTCTCGCTGATTAAGCGTTAAATCTTCAGATATAGAGAATCCTGTCCCGCTCAATTTTTTTTTGTTCTGTATAATTTCCTTTTTTTTAATAGCAGATGTTAGTTCTATTTTTAGAGGAGCAGAATTTGTTTTTCCTAGTGCAAAGAAATTACTGATTTGATCTTCCTTCAACTTAACCCCTAACAGGTGATCAATTTTTTCAGTTATGAACTTCAACGTAATATCTTTGTAAGATTTATTTAAACCGAAGATAATCAAACTTTTTGAACGATTTTCCCTATCTAAATATTCTAACTTTTCTTTTAGTTCCGTATTTTCAGTTTCTAACAATGTTATTCTATGATTGCTTTCTTCCAACTTCTTTAAAAGTCGCGTTTCACTAGAGTTTATGCAAGTTTTTAGATCTCTTTTACAGTTTTGGACTTCATCTATTACTTCTTTCAACGGTTCTTTTATAATTTTCTTTATAGTAGCTTCATTCATTGTTTATCTTATAAAGACCAGAACACCGTTCAATAATTTAATGCCTACGCTACTGTATGTAGTATTAAAACAAGTCTGGAATTCTACCAGATAAGATTAGCCACAAAAAAGATTCAAATATTTTCGATATTAATTTTCGGTGCAACTGATTTTGATGAAATATATTAGTTCTAAGTAAAATTTTGTAGTGCTTACCAAATGAGGCTGTTTATTATACTTTTATACTGCGTTCTGCAACTTTTCATAATTTTCTGATGTCAAATTTCACTAATATTTTAACTTTAACTGGAGCAATTTTTAAAAACCTGTGTGTGTACTACTGATTTTTGCTGTATTTGTTGTATATAAACTATAGATACTTACATTCTTGCATTAAAACAATAATATTATATTTATATTAAATAGATAAACATCAACAAATAAATAAAATTGAAATAATTTTTTGTATCTTTATTTTTTTCAAAATATAAGGAATGAATATTTTGCTACTTTTCAAAAATTAATTTATGAAATTATAAAACACAAATTATTTTGAGGTTTGTATCTATACTATTTATTAAAATAAAACGATGTTTTCGTCTTTTTTTTAGATACCATTTTGAAAACTGTTCACTTTTTAAATGATGGATAAACCTTTACATATTGAGAAGTGAGTAGTACCACACAAATTTTGCCACAATTCTTGTTATTTACCACGCACACAAGGGCCAGCTCACTGATTCTACCAAAAAAAAAAAAAAAGGAAAAAGAAAAAAGAAGAAAGAAGAAAAAACGAAGAAAAACAAAAAAATATCTTCTAAAAAGTTGACTGGAAAATAACCTTCTACTAGAAGCATTTTTCGTCTCTATTTAATAAAAATACACCGGATCTTTAAGATGCAGCAATTTCTGACATTGTCCCTTTCGAGAAATTTGAAACCTTTCTGCAAGAATATCCAGAACCTCCTGAAAGTTTTGAAGAAAGTGAAGTTTTGTCTGAATCAGAAGAAACATCTTTAATATTTGGTTCATTTTCATAATCCCTTAAAAATGCATTCATGATAATATGTGAATAGTTTTTTTTATGTTGTTAATGTATTATATTAATAATAAACATTTACATGTAATAATAACAAAAAAGAGAAAAATAAAAACGAAAAATAAACAATGTACGTTACTTGTTACTATTTTTTTTTGTAACTCTGTTGGATGTACTATAAATGTATTTTTTTGTTGATTTTGACTTTCGTTTGGCATCTTCTCTACTTTTTATCTTCCTTCTCTTTTTTTTCAGTATTCTTGTCTTCTTTGTTTGTCTCTATTCTCGTTTCTTCACTTTCGTTTGAATGTATTTCATCCAGTTCTGATTTTTCTAGTGTTTTATCCACTAGATACTCACGTTGCTCGTTATGCGCGCACAAGATAGGAATTTGTGGTGTTTTCAAATGAAATAGATTCAAACTATCTTCAAAAAAAGTTAAACAGTTATTTGTAGATGGTGTTGGTGGGGCACTATTCGTTTTAAAACGTTAATTGCGTAAACTTGATTATTGACTATTAAGGTACGGCCCTTAGTTCTTGCGTGATAATGACGCGATCTTGCTATGTTTAATGTTTTTGAAAAAGTTGACTGTTATCTTCATAATACAAGTCCTCAACAAAATAAATATTTTCCCCTTTTAATTTATTGCAATTTATTAATATTAAAGATTAAACATTTAATAATAGCCTCTTTTTAGAATGCAGATGAACAAATTAAAATGTCTTGTTATTTCTACCTCATTATTTACTTACAATGGAAAATACCTTATGTTCATGTGTAATTATTCCTTTTGCTCTGCAAATATCTCCTTTTCTCAAGTTATTCATGGGAAATCGTATTATTTCCATATACGTATAATAAGTTTTTAATAAGTTTTGATAAATTTTATCTGTCTTGTGCCTTTCAAAAGTACCCCCACGAGTCACTGGGCCCAAAAATATGAAGATTTATGATAAAACACTTGTGCTTCTTTACTGAAATACAATATATAAGTTCTATATCAAAATTTAAAAAATTATTTTTGTCAATTGATTTGAAATGAAAGAAGAAGAGAAGGGAAAAACCTGAAACTTGTAATAATAAAAATGTAAATGATGGTACTGTAATATACTGATGTAACAGAAGATTTTAGTACTTTATTATACAAACAGTGGCGTAACTATTATAAGACAAGTAAGCGCAATGCATTAGGGCCCCTAAGCTTGGGGGGCCAACTTGTCCTCGTTCTCTTGCATACTTTCTTTAGAAATGGGTGTTATCAAAATAGAAAGAGATGAAAATATTTAGCAAAGTATGCTGTCATAGAAAAGACAATAGATATGTTTGAGTTCTTCAAAAATACGTTGAGAACTATCACTAGTTGACCAGCCGACGCGACAGTTTAATAGTTGTATGCGACGAATAATTTGGAATTCAACTTTTTGCATCGATTTTTAAAGACACCCGAACAAACCTAGGTATATGCTTCAAAAAATTGTAAAAATGTTTGAGAATAATTGATAAATAATTTGTTTTTAACAAACTTCTTAAAAATAATTTTAAAAAACCGACTTCAAAATCGTACAGATGTCGTCACCACATTCTAACCAAATTTATATGGGACCACCCCTGAGGTACCCCCTTACTAACAAAAAAAGAATCGATAATTCTTTACCACCTTTTCCTATTTCTTTAATTCTTTTTTTGTTAGTAAGAGGGTACCTCAGGGGTAGTCCCATATAAATTTGGTCAAAATCTAATATTTGGGTTCATGAGAAAATCCTCAAATTCTTCGTTGTTTATGTGTGTTCAGCGATTGCTCTTTAACACGGTGTCCGATTTCAATTATTCTTTTATTATTAGAAAGAGGATACTTCAGGGGTAGTCCCATATAAATTCGGGTAAAATCTAATAATTGCATCCATGAAAAAATCCTCAAACTCTTAATGTTTATGTATGTTTAGCGATAATTCTTGACCATGTTTTCCTATTTCTTTGATTCTTTTTTTGTTAGTAAGAGGGTACCTCAGGGGCGGTCCCCTATAAATTTGGTTAAGATGTCGGTTTTATAAAATTAATTTCAATACTTATTCTACACCGGTTCATGAACGTTGAGCAGGGGCGCATATACGGGGGGTTAATGGGCTCTTTGTTTTTAACTGAACCTAGAAGAGACACTTTTCTTTCAAACAAAAATTAATTTTTATTATTTTTTGCATAATTTAATCCCCCTTGAATATTGATCGCTGAATGTGTAAAGCGTTTTTTAGAGGGTTCTTAAGTTTGAGTTAACTACTTTTTGATTTAAATTTTTTTAATAAAAAAAAAATATTTTGTTGAGTTATATGTAAAATAAATTAAAAACATTTAAAGCTTGTTCTTCTATTTTTATTTAGTATATGTAATTTGTGACTGTCTATATTGCGTTAAGAATCAAAAAATGCTGTTTTCACCACTGTATACATAGGTAGAAGAAGAGTTTCTATTTCCAAAACCTAAAATTTACTTGCGAATTTTTATATTATTTTTTAATTCTTTAATATTTTTTACTATTTTTATTTTTTAATACTAGATTAATTTTTTTTTAATTAAGAAACAGTAAATATTCTTAATATCAAAGAATGTATAAAATTCTTGCATGTAAAATATTTCATCTACTTTCTGATTTTTATATTGTTTCTAAGTGTTTTGATAGAAACTGGTATATACGTGCTTGTAATGGTTTTTATTTACATTTACTGCCAAACAGCTCTTCAGATTTGGGAGGGCCTGTCAAACTTTTTCGCTTTAATTCTAACCATGTAATAGCTTTATAAAAAATTGAAGTGTCGTCTGCAAATCCCAATAAGATCTCGATAAAAAATAGTCTGTTGATATAAAGATTTAATAGAATTAGACCGAGTACCGTACCTTGTGGGATACTAAAAGTTATTGAGTGTAAATCACTATAGACATTATGTACTCTTGTAATTGTTGTCGGTTTTTAAATTATTTGAGTGGTGTCTAAATATATAAATATGTATATAAATTGTATTAATTTATATATTTTAATATATGGAAATCCGTAAATAAATTAATATATAAATAGATAGATACATAGATTTAAAACGTGCTAAATTGACCTCAACCTTAATCATCGAACAACAGCAAATGTCTTCAACCTCACACACTTACTCTAATCTTCTCGTAAGTAGTATCCAATTCCAACCTGTGCACGAACGGATTCAGCATCTTGGTAGGACATTCCTCGTGCGATATACCGCCTGTCATTTTTGCGCTCATTGTCACTCGAACACTAACTGTCTATCTACCCTGTACCGTTTGTTTATAAACCTCAATTCAAAAAAAATCGCCGTGCAATGTGCATTTCTCGCCGCGGAATTTCACTCGCGCGTCTTGAGGATCGGAATCAAATGAAAATTTCGGCCAATCGCGTTGGAAATGTGAAAGGCTTTCTATGACGTTGCCGGTTGTAGCGAGTGGGAAGTCTTCGGATTGAATTTCTGGTAGGTCAAGAGCCCGGCTACAAGTGTATGTATGTACCAACGAGAGGTTGTAATTTCAGTTGATTCGGGTTTCTAGACCTTTCATGTTTGTTTGTATAAAATTGATTTCTTATTGATGATAGTACTAGGTACTACTATGGCAGTTTATTTACTATAAAATAACAGTGGCGTAGCATATATGGGGGATTAAGTATCTTAATTTTACTGGATTACTTTAAAGCATTTGATATGCTGAATTATAAACTACGTTTGACAATCACACATTATCTAGGTTTTTCTGATACTGCTACAAAACTTGTTAGTTTTTTTAAATGATAGATTTCAAGCGGTTGAAATAGATATGAAAAAATCTCAAAAAATTGATTTAACAATAGGAATTCCACAAGGAAGTATACTCGGGCCACTGTTATACACCCTATATACCAGTAACTTCCAACATGCACTTAAATTTTGCTACCACCACTTCTACGCAGATGATACGCAAATTTATTACTCCTTTAGTCATGACAAAGTAATGGAATCATCTCGGGCTATTAATGCTGATCTTGCTAAACTTGCGGAAATATCATCAGATCATTTATTAAGAGTAAATCCTAGCAAATCATGTGTCGTATTATTTTGCAAAGATTCTTTGAAAAATGAAGTAAAAGATGTATTAAATTTAAGACTTGGACTGTGGACAATAAATTAAGGTTCAAGGAACATATAACTGCCGAATTAAGACTAGCTTATTCTGGGTTAAATGCTATTTACCCACAAACAGTGGCGGCTCGTGGGCACTAGCGGCAGTGGGGCACACTGGAAAGGAATCCCGGGATCCGTTTTTCCCTTAGGAAAACAAGTTCTTCGCTTAATGAAAATTAAATATATTTCAAAACAATCAGTTGGGGCAATAACGATTTCTGAATGTGACTACAGGGAGCTAAATGTGACTACTCAAAATGCATTTAACTATGTATGTGGCTATTTATTCAAAAAATCATTACATATCCACTCTTGCGTTTGCGTAAATTTATCAGAAGAATGCAATTTACTTAACAATTCTAACTTGTTAACGCATTTTAAAGCATACGACTCTGAAGAAAAGGTGTCTGGCAATTTAAAATCTCCCAGCGAAAACTTTCTCTTTTATATTTTAAAATTTCAAAAAATATTAATATCTCTATTTGATAGTTTGTCAACTAAGCCTGGAATTTCCAACGCATATCTTTTTGAGATGAGCAAAATAGAATGCCACCAATTTGCGAAAATGTACACCATTAAATTATTTATAAGACTTAGAATTTTTTATACTCTTAAATATGCAAACAGAGATTTGAAATCCTCGAAAAAGTCGGACAAAACCAAAAGAAAAATTAAAATTTTGTCCCATTTATAAATATTATTGATTTTTTTTCATCATATTTTTGACTGCTTTATAAAAAAAAAGTTATTTTTCTTTGTAGTTTTATTTCTTAACTATTCCAATGGTCCAACTAACGGTCTTTCCTAATCACAATAAATAAATTATTATCATGGTCCAACAAAATTGCACCTTAAACCACTGCGTACATTCGTATCTGGTCTAGGTAATCTGTGCCATGGGTACAGTACGGTACGTCAGGCTGAGGACAGCGCCCTGCTTGTGACGTATAATCCATCGCATGTATTCATCTCTTGCTAAGCGATATTGTCATTGTCCTTGTTTCTCGCATCATAATGAGAGAGAAAATAACAGAGGCACACATTTGCTGTGCTCATCTTCCACTTAATTTCGGAATTCTTGGAACGTCGCTCAACGCCCAGTCGTCCAGTGTCGTGCTAACGCGGTTTGAGCTGAATATTAGATAAAATAATAATAGGCATTGAGGAAAATATAAAATATGTAAGTTATTTTTTGTTTATTATACAAGGGCACGTGCCCAAGTGTCCTTACGGGCAAACCGCCACTGCCCACAAAGACATTTTTTAGATGTCAACATTAAACGAACTTCGTGTGATTCAATCGTACTTTCCCATTTTGATCACTGGGATACGGTTTACGGTCCTTGTATATATGCTAGTGATAAAAATCGAATCCAAAAGATTCAAAATTCCTGTATTCGACTCATATATGGTATCAGACGTGGTCAGAGGGTTTCATATCAACTTAAAATGGCTAAACATGCACAACCGCCGCTCTCTACATTTAGGTTGTTTTCTTTTTAAAATTCTAAACTCCTTCTTTACATTAAAAAATTAAATTTCGAACCGATGTCCACAATATCAATATAAGACGCAAAAATAAGCTTTTTTTCACATTAAATGTCAATTTATTATATTTAAACCATTTTAAGATGTCGTTAAAGTCAAATTCTGTTTTTAGTTTTCCCAAGTTTCATAACTGCGAAGCTTATTATAGTACCTTGTGAATTTTGTAGTAGTAAGTTATTGATATATATTGTAAATTATACAGGTCCAGTTACTGTATCTTGAGGTACTCCGTAGATTATTGTTGATTACTAACTATACCATCTATGCTTACGGTTTGTTTTTTCTCAGATAGGTAGCTTTTTAACAAATCATATGCATTTCCGCGAATTCCAATATTGACCAATTTCTCAAGCAGTTTAACTTAAAATCGATGTGGATACTTTTCAACCCTCTTCGAGGCTTGTATTCGAAAATTAAGCACCTAAACCTGTCACTATCTGACGGTATATTATAGCCTACGTTTAGTGAAAGTGCAATAAGGTCTATGATCTGTATTTTTCCATAAAAAATAAATGATTTTTCACAGTTATGTTGCTTTGAATCTGTTCAATACACGTCAAACTATTTGGCCTTATTTCATTATTTATAATATATAATTGATAATATAATATATAATTGATAATAAATCTGTACAATATCACAGCCATGGAAGAAACCAATTTGATAATGCAAGAAGAGTTGATCACCATTAGTACAGACAAGCAGAAAAAGATCATTGTATTGTCATGAAATTCCTAAGCCGACCCTGTATCTAAAGCAAGCGCGACCTTTAGCTGGCACCCGACTTATGCTCTAGGCGACGGAACGTTCAGGAATGCCGCTGACGCACTAGAAACGGTTAGAACGGTCGGAAGTGCTATGGACCACCGAGTAGTCTTTTGGAACCGTGAGCAGGTCTTGTTGTTGCTCGGTTGTAACACTATCTCTTGCTTTTCCGGTATCTCCATATGCACCATAAATTCTTCCTCTTGATGGTCACTCTCAAATGGCGCCAGCCGGTTTTGGTGCACTACCTTTGGTTTACCGTTCGGGATCTTACTTATACGGTAAATGACGTCACTGATTTTTTTCCTGATGAGTGCTGACCTTCCCAAGACCTTTGAAGCTTTGAAGAATAACCTTTTTGTCTTTTTGGGTTATGGAGCCAGACTTTGTCGCCTTCCTTGAAATATCCTTCTGTGGCTTGGGTATCGTATCGCTTCTTCATTCTGTCGCTGGCGATTTGAAGATGCGAGCGGACCAATTCATGCATATCGTCCATTCTTTTTCGTAACTGGATCACATAATCTTCACCAGCTACATCTTCTCCAGGTCGGCATCCAAACTCGAGGTCGCACGGTAGTCTCATCGCACGCCCAAACAGGACCTTTGCTGGTGTTTGGCCTGTTGATTCATTGACAGCGGATCTATAAGCCATTGCAAAGAGCGAAAGATACTGAACTCAATCTCGCTGATGGTTTGAAACTACTTCTGACAAATATTTGCCAATGGTCTTATTCATTCGTTCTACCATTCCATCGGATTGTGGGTGCAATGCTGTGGTTCTGGTTTTCTTCATGCCTAGTCTATCACAGATTCCACGGAAGAGTTGACTTTCAAAATGTCTGCCTTGGTCACTCCAAGGGCACTTTAAATCGACAAATAAACTCTTTTATTAACGCATCTGCAACAGTTGCGGCCTCTTGATTTGGAATGGCTTAGACTTCTACCCACTTCGTGAAATAATCCATAACCACCATCATGTATTTATTACCATTCTCGGTCATGGGGAATGGTCCAGCAATTACTGCGATGTCGTCTACGGGCCTTGTATTGACTATGTGGATATTAATCGTATTCAAAGAGTACAAAATTCTTGTCTTCGCTACATATATGGTATAAAAAAATACGAAAGGATAAGTCACAAACTAATTGAAACTAACTGGTTAAATATGGAAACTAGAAGGAATTTACACATGGTAACATTGTATCATAAGATCATTTCATTAAAGTCGCCTCCTTATCTCTATAATAAAATTACATTTCGAAGTGATGTGCATAATGTGCATACAAGGTTTAGAGGGCATATATCTCCACCTCTCCATCGTACCTCCAAATTTCAAGGTTCATTCTCTTATATGATATTTAAACTATATAACCTGGTTCCTCCTAAACTCAAACATCTTTCGACAAATATGTTTAAGCAAAAGTATAAACATCTCTTGATGTCAGAAAATATCTAGTCAAAACAACCATTAGATATTATAATAAAATGTAATATTACATTTATAAAATGTGTATTTATATTTTTGTCTCGATTGTGCCACACTTTATTCGTTGTATTTTATTATTTTAATATTTTTCTTTTCTTTATTAGGGATAGCAATTAATATCAGCTATGCTGTCTGCTATTCCCTTTTTGTAGTATTATACTATTTTGTTCGATAAAATTTATGTATTTAATGCAAATTTACCTGTAATACTGCAAATAAATTATTATTATTATTATTATTATTATTATTATTATTATATCTAAGGCGATCCTCTCAAATGGACTACCAACGT